GGAGGAGATCGATTTTTACCCTGCAAATTGTACATTTCAACTGCCTGTTAAATATCAAAAAAGTACAGGTGTGTAACACACACAGGTCTAAGCTGTACTCTTCCCACAAGGGGAAAAAAAGAATACGTGAATGGACTGTGGAACTTTTTTGTCTCTCTACCAAAATTTGTGGTGGTTTGGAACCAGGGATGGGAAATGATAAGGAAAAAAATGAGCAGGTTTGTTCATTTGAATGTTACCAATGGCAATATCACCTGTTTGGCTGCAAGCAATAAGCTTGGAACTGGTATTAGCCAAAATTCATCCTCACGAATGGAGCTGAAAGTGTTATAAGATGACACCGACGTTCCTAGTCCCAGAATTTGCACCTTCCCACCTAGACATCCTGTTACGTATCACTTGCTCTGTTCTAGCTGGTTGATGCAAGAGTCAAAAGTTTACCTTTTCCTAAAATGCTCTATGTTACAGGGCATGCCAGTTTAAAATGAGTAAAAAAAGAAACAGCCAAGAACAGCAGAACGTGGCTATTGTCATGCTACTTTATCTCCTAGAGGATAAAGAACTGTTGTGCTTTTACTTGCACAGAGTTGCCCTGGGGAGGACTATCCTGATGCACAGGATTATGCAAGTAGCATCAAGTGATGAGAAGGAAGAGAAAGAAAATTGCAGCTGTGGTGTTCAGCCTACCTTATTTCCAGCAGTAAAAATCTGTGAGAAATACTGAAGATGACTTACCCTGAGGATTGGCTTTGGGGAAAAGCACAGACAAGTCCTTCTTGGGAATTTTTGGAAGCGACTTGATATAACTTTTAGCCTAAAAGAAAGGGGAAAGCACAGCACACACAGTTACGGCAAGTCAGTAAGTGCAAAGGGGGCTGCAAAACAGAGCTTTTAGTTTAGGCCTCGATGAGCAATGACAAGAACAAGTTATCCTGGAGGCCACACTTCACTGTGAGGAACTGTTTTTATCAGTTCTTTGAGATCCAGAAATATTCCCTTGTAGAAAACAGCCAGATGGAAGATAGAGGAGGGAGATGCCAGGACACCCTTTACTCAGAGCCTGCACTTCCAGACCCCACCATCCACACCTGTTCTCAAAGCACCACATGAAACATGAAGTCAAATGCATCAGCTGTGCCTCTGCTGAAGAGAAACGGCTTCCTCGGCAGCAGGGGAAGAGGCTCCTTTCAAATGACTGCTTTAAAAGCAACATCCCTCCCATCTCAAGGACGTTTTGCAGCCACCCTCTCTCCACCAGGCCCCTGAATAACCGGCACGGCGCACTTCCTTACCGCTTTGTCTTCCAGCTTCTCCACAAAATCTTCTCCAGGATACCCTGTTACTTTCAGGATCTGAGTCAGCTGATCCAGGTCTGGAAGGCTGTGTTAAAGGTCACCGATGTAGGAGCAGGCCCCAGACCCCGGTCAACAGCTCGATACCCTGTCCACGAAGGCCCAAGGAGCTTTTAGAGCTACTAGTAGGTTGTGATATGAACCCCCAGAGAGACTCATATGCAGAGACTCACTACACTGGTAAAAATACTCCGAGAGCTCCTGTCCCCGAGATGCAATCTGTCCACAAAGGGATTAAATTTGTGGCACAACTTCATCAATGCAGAATTCTGCTGGCACGAACGTGCTGCGCAGGTTCGGGGATCTCCCTGTGCGAGGGCTGGGGATGGAGCTGTGGCTGCGCAGGGTCAGCTCCGTGATGCGAGACGTGCCCAGCCTGCACCGAGGTGTTTCCAGGTGGCTCAGCCCTTCCACTGTTCCCCTCACCCAAAAGACACCACTAATCCCCTGGGACTGTCACCAGCAAACCAGACCTATGCCCATTTTGCTAGGTAGGTTCATATTTGTAAGAGCATTTCACATGTAGCCCTCCCACCCAGGGAACAGGTTCCATTTGAAAGGATACAATCTTTTCCTTTAAAAAACGGTTTCCCGGTCAGCATTTCTGCCATGATACAGCCAATAGACCAGATATCCACTGTTTAGGGAGAAACAAGAGAAAGAAAAAAAAATGAAAAGAATGACACAAACTCGAAGGAAGAAATGATTGCTGGGGCTGTCTCCTGCTTTTTAGGTCTGCACAAGGCACCAATTTCAATTTCCCTCTCCTTTTCCACCCTCCGCTGTTCTTTCTATGCTACTGCAGTCGCTGCCTTCATCTTTTCCCACAGGCTCCAGCTTTGGAGGTGCCCAGCTCTGCGCAGGGAGAGACCGTGATGAGCAAGAACAAAACCATCTGGAGGATTACGTGAGATTTGACCCAGGCGTGACAAGGGCCTTTGGGCTTGTCACCAGAGTGTCACATGGCTGAGGCAACACGACTCACCTGTCTGGTTGTAATGCATCCAGTTGAGAATGACTTCTGGTGCTCTGTACCAGCGCGTCACCACGTAGCCTGTCATTTCAGCATCCGCGTGCCTTGCCAAGCCAAAGTCTAAAATCTGCAGGTTGCCAAAGGAAAAGGAAAAAGGAAGGGCAGGAAAGAGAAATCCAACAGGCAAGTGAGAATCTACTTCTATGAGGAAATGAACCCAATCCAATCAGATAATGATGAAGCTCTTACTAGAGCACAGCCACCCACAGGATGGCTCAAAGAATTAACAGGTTTGTCCTAATTCCACTGCAAATTGTAAGCAGGCTGCAAAACCAGTTATCGTGCGAAGACCCTGAGGAAAGGGATCTGTGTTGTGTGCTTCCGAGCTTGTCACTTCCCTTCTTGAAACTCAAGTTTCAAGTCCATTATTTTTTTTTTTTCATTGAGTTCTTCTATAACCCGGAGGCCAAGGCTGCTCCCAGGCCAACACGAGTCACCAGGCCTACAAAAACACCCTGCAGCTGGCGGGGATGAGCTCGCCCTCGACACTGCAGAGGGCACGGCGTGACCCAGCCTTTACGGGCAGCAGAGCCACTCCCTGGAGCACGCGTTACAGAACGCTGCTGGGTCAGCACGGCTCCAAGCACTCCCTGTAGAACAGCGTGGAAAATAACTTGGCTTCGAATCACACCCATCCCGTTTCGAGTCAGCAAGGACCAAGGGGTAACTGTGCTTGAATTGAGCTGTCCTTCAGGGATCATTCGCCTAATGCAAGTATTGCTCAGCAGTACTGAATTTATTTAGGAAGTCATGACGAACTTCAGCAGAGCAGGAATTGCAGTGACAGGATGTTCATTCCGAGTCTTGGGCCCTGATTCAGCAAGTTACATAAGCACGTGGGTATTTCCCACTGACTTCAACCAGCGTGTAATGAAATACCTTGAATCAATCTTGGGACACAAGAGGGAACATAATGATGCCTGAATGCCAGGATTCCTGCTCACAAAGATGTTCAGCAGCAACCTGACATGCTACATGCTACCAGCTGTGAAGTGGTGCTTTTTCACCTACCTTTAGCTGACAATCTTCATTCACAGCCAGATTTCCTGGCTTCAGGTCCTAAAACAGACAAGATCAAAATAAGGACATCATGACCTGCAGCCCATCAACATGAGACTCAGTCAAATCTCAGCTTGCTTTAAATGATGTGCTACAGCATCTTGAGTATACTATACAGCTCTAGATTATGGAAATGATTACATTTGTTCTGGAACAGTTTTCATTCTAAAAACATCAGCTTGTCAGAAAATATATCATCTCCTCAAAGTACTGCACAGGTAACAGCAAATACAAGCAAGTGTAAGGTGTAGCAAGGAAAAAGAAGCAGAACTCCAGAGGAAAAAGATGAGACTCTTAGTAAAATGATGTTGTTAATTTTATGACTGAATTGTGTTTCTCTCACATAAACAAAATTGGAATAATAGCGCACGTGAACTTACCCGGTGAATGATTCCAGCAGAATGAATGTACTGAAATAAAAAGAGAATATGATCACTAGCAGAAAAGTCTTTTTTTTTTTTTTTTCTCTCCCAAATCAGAGAAAAAAAGAACAAAAGCTACCAACAAGAATTTGCGGAAAACTCAATCTCTGGAATCTTCTGCAAGCCCCTGGCCCTCAGTGTGCAACTCCACAGTAGAAGTTACGGCCACAAAGGAGAAACAAGGTCTGCTAAAAAGTCAGTGACCCAACTGCTATCATGGAAAAACATCTCAAGGTTTTTGACTGCAGGATTATTTTAGTAAGGGTTTGGCTGTGTCAAAGAGCAGGTATTTAGATTGACATGCTCTAAATCAAGAACAATTCAATAAGAATTATCTGCTATTAGTGAGTGTCATTAAAAATACAAATCTTCCTATACAATGTTCAAGAAGTTGTATGTTGTGATACAGCCCAGAGGTGACACAAGATACACTCCCAGAGCAGATCTGGTGAGTCACTGCCTCTGCTGGAAGCCAAACCTTCTTGTAGCATCTGCAGACCCACCTACCTTCAGCCCTTTCAGCATTTGGTAGACCAGGTACTGGATCTTTTCATCACTGAATTCATGGCCCATGATCTTTTGCAAATCTGTCCGCATGTAGGGCATCACCAGGTAGCTAAAAGGCAGTAAGACAAGGCCCTGAGTCTAGAAGAAAAACATAAGGAACCAGACTAGCCTTGTTCTCACTTGTTTTGCAACTGTGTATCTTACTCCAACTAAGACTGGCTGTTGTAGCTATATCCCTGACCAGCTAAAATATCCTGCAGTGCTGCTGGAATTTCTATGTTCTCTCAAAATTGCTTTATCCTTCCCCTCAAATTAGGTACCTGACATCAAACTTTAATGGTCCCAAATTACCTTAGACTTCAACTGATATTCCAGACCATCTTACACCGTATGGCAGCTGAAATCTTTTGGGCAGCTTTAAAGAGAGTCTTGCAAAACTGCTGCATTAGGTCCCAAATTTATCCCTGTGCCTCAGGAGACACCGTCCAGCTCTGCCGCTGCTCCCGCCTGCCGAGGCTGCTCGTGAGCTGCCCGTGGGATCCGCGCGGAGCGTCGCCCAGCGCCTCCCGTGCAGCTGGCTGAACATGCAGCCAGCAGCTGCGAGCCCAGCCCAGGCACTGGGATTGAAACAACTCAACCATCAAAACCGAGGGAAATGCCAAAAAGAAGGGGCAGAATTAAAGTAAAAAAATAAATCAGATCTTTAGAATTCTCTCAGTTTAATTGTTCTGTGGGCAGATAAATGATGCTGCTCCCATTCTGGCTGCAGCGTCTTTGTTCAGCAGTCACACTGCCAGGGCATTAGCATGTATCATGCTACCTGTGACATACCCATGGCACGTAGTGATTCTTGGTTATATATGCTGGTACATGTGCAATGTATTCTGCCCACTGGGGACAGGGCATGTGTGATCTGTTTGTGTGTTCTGGGTGTTTGAGTCACTGGAGCTGACCTTTGCTTTGGATTCCCCTTGTTATTTGGGAATGTCTGGCTTTAGTGTGGCCCCTTTCCAAATCAGCCTGTAGAACTGCGCCTCAAAATAATACATTATCTAGATACCAAATCTGAAAATGTCTTGGTTAATGACTGAATTTAGATAGCGTGAACACAGAATGAAAGACTCCGAACTTACAAGTCCTGGAATTCATGGTAGGAGGAGGCAGATGTGAAGACATCAAGCAGCCCAATGACCTGATGAATAAAAGAAGCCCAAACTTAACCCTGGAAAGCATTTGCTGTGCAAGCAGGACTCCTGTAACAGCTCTCCATCGGCACATGCATGTGTGATGTTTCAGAAGTCTACCTGAGGAATGTGAGAACCCCTCACTACATCATGCAGCTACTTTTCCTCTTACTAATACAAGAGAACACCCATCACACAAATTTCTTGGAGCCTGGTGCCCGCTGGACGCAATAGGCAGGGAGCCGTTACAAACCCCAAGACCACATGGACGAGCTCAACACAGGGAGCTCCCCGTTGAAATGAGGGTGCTGCCACCGGGAAGGACTCGCTCCGGGCAGCAAGGAGGTCTCCCCTGCTGGAAATGGGGACAAACGAATACCCACGTTTTCATGCTGCATGTGCTTCAGCAGCATGAGCTCCCTGTACGCCCTCTTGGCAAAGGTCTCCGACTGGAAGGGGCGACACAGCTTCTTGATGGCCACTTTTTCACCTGTCTTCTTGTCTATGGCTGAACTGCAACAGACAAATAAAAAAACTGCTGTGACTTTGCCCATATATTTACACAACACTTTATCACAATGCTAAAGAAGTTCCCTCCTGGAGGAGAGCTAAGTGTGGACTTCGCCAGGGAGAGGCAAGGAGAGGTCCCGTGATCATTGTGTTTTGGTAGAGAAATGGGGAGGAGTTCTGGACACTCAGGTCTGCTGTGTGACTTGGGCACATCCCCAGGATCTTTGGGGGACTAGCAGGACACCAAGTAAACTATTAGTGGCCAGTCTTCATGCCCTTTAGCTCTGACTTACTTGTGCAGGTTAAAGCAAGTGTTAACAGAGCAGCAAGGAGGAAACACAAATGGTTAAAGGTCAGGATTAGCTATAGTTCTGCTCTTCCCTTTACGTGACTCACAAAGATAAGGGAATAAAGCAATTTCTGCCTGGAGGCTGCTCTCTTTTAAGGTGGTTCCGCCTTCTGCACAGACTGCTGGAGTGAAGGCAGGACACGTCACATCTCCTGAAAGCACAGGACTGAACTCTGCTCCAAGCACTTCTGTGTAAAGGCAGCTCCCAGTCTGACCCTGAGCTTCTGGAATGGAAACCCAGCACAGCAGCTGGAGCTGGAGACACGGCTGAGGGATGGGGTCTCAGACCTGGAAACCAGGACCCTTCAGCTTGCCCTGCTCTGGCTTTTATAACTCTCAATGCAAAACTGACTGCGTTAAACGAGGTTACTCTAAAGGTCGTAATAATCACACGTGGATCAAAAATCTCTGAACAAAGTGTTCAGAATGTGATAAGCACTGTGTGCCTTTTGGTGCTGTCCTGTCAGACACAGGGAGGGTAATACTTGATTCCTTGAGGTGCTGAAGGTCAAAGCGTTTATTCTCATTGCTAATAAACTGTCAGAAATCAATGGTAAGGCCAGTCTCTGTCTTACATCTTGGCTTTCAGACACCAAGGTTATGCTTCCATAAGTGAAATAAATAGGAAAAGACACCAGGTTATAACAACACAGAGTGCCCGGTGTCAAGCAGCGCATTTCACTGGGCTTAGGGCAGCCTGGAATTTCCTGCTCAGCACAGCTTTCCATCCGGGACACCAATGAAAAGAGGTTCCCTTCCTTGCTGCAGATCTTGGAAGCCTGCTAGCCAGCTTGCTTTAGCTGTCGGCCACGAGCAACCAGCGTTTGCAGAGCCTGGCCCATCAGCAGCCCTCACCTAGTGAGCGTCATCTCTGCCAGTGTCACGGGACCCCTCTGCTCTTGGCCACTGAGGTCCCTTCCAGCTGCTCTAACCGGAGCGCGCGGAGAGCAGCCGTATCCTTTGGCGGCACAAGTGATGCAGCCAAAGCAGCCAGCTGGAAAACAAGCCAAGGAAGTGCTGGAATAGCTACAGCAGTGAGTGCTGAGAGATGACAGAAGAGTGCACGGGACGAGCAAAGGGAAAAGCTCTCAGTTTCAGCAGGGCTGCAGCAAGTGTCAACAGAGCAGGCGGTGCAGAAGCTCCCTGGGGAGCAAGGGAAATACAGGGAAACGAATCCAAGAGCTTCTGCACACTACTGCAGGCCCAAGCCGTGTTTCCTATTTGTTTTTTCCTCCCTTCCTAGCTCCTGGCCTACGAGGCAGATCTCTCACCCCACCGCTCAGCCTGTCAACACCGGAGACGGTGGGTGCTGTAGCTTCAGTCGCCGGCACAAACAGCGGTACTTTCACCCTCGCCATAAGGCACAGCTAAGAGTTCACCCAGTGACACAGCCGGGGAGATCCCACAATGTTCTTCCCAGATTTAATGAGCAGTTGGAAGCCCGGGATGACGCCGAGGCCAACCTCAAGACGAGGTCACGCCGGCTCCTCGCGGGGCCGCGGCCGCAGCTCCTGGCGCGGAACGCGGGACCCCCGGAGCCACGCGCGTCCCCACGGCTCTGCCCGCAGACGCTGGCACGGCGCCGGCCGCGTTACGAGACTTTCCTTGCAGAGCTACCCCAGCCGGAAGCCCAGATGCTACAGATTGCAGAATTCCCGAGGGAATTCAGGGAATCCTCTCCCGAATCCGTTGTTCTGCTGCTCTAGACCCCTCAAGAACAAAAGCAGCTCGGCTCCACGCGGCAATAGGGAAGCTTCCCGCTCGGAAACGTGCTCCGTGCAGCGGGGCCACGTCCTGCCCCAGGGGCAGCCGAGGCGGCCAAAGGCGCCAGGGAAAGATCTGCCGTGTTTGCTTCTCCTAGCGCATAAAGAAAACTTGGATTTTTCTTCCCTTTTTTTCTTCTCATTCATCCTTTCTACTTTCGTTTTTAGCCTTCCTATTTAACTTTATTTTTTAATATAAAAAGCAGAACACAGTAGAAATATCACAAGCAACAAATTTAGTCTTTCCTGATTTTGCTGGACTCATCTAAGTGTCTCAGGAACACACCTTGCACGATAAAGCAATGCAGAAATAGCAGATACGCAAGGGCAGGCTGGGGACAGACCCAGACTTTCGTCCCTGGGGCTGGGGGACTCCTGCAGCGGCAGATTCTTTGCAGAAGACCCAGGAAAGGGGACGCAGCTCTCTGGCTCTGCGGTCACATTATGAAGCAAGCCCTGAGCTCAGACACCGTCAACGGGCTGCTTCGCGTTTACGTTTCTAAAAGTCAGCAGAATCTCCCCAGATTTACCACAGCCTAAGGAAGCAAGAGCTGACTTTGTGCATGAGGGGCACCTCTGCCCAGCTCATGAGCTCACGGTGGCTTCACACCACGCTCGTAGCTGGGTTATCACCACCCTGCCAGGAGCTCCAGCCTTTCACTTGACCCTGCTTTAAAAATCATAGAATCATGGAATTGTTAAGGTTGGAAAGGATCTCTAGAGATCATTTAGTCCAACCCCCCTGCACATGCAGAGTCACCGAGAGCATGTGGCACAGGACTGCAATGGTTTCTTTTTCCTCGTTTTGTGGTATAAATTATATCTGCTTTATGAGTTCAAGATGGAAGCAGTAACTAGAAGTTGCATTAACCAAGTTTTTCTCCGAATAGTCAGAAAACTGTCCTAGACTAGCATCAACTACCATGTGTCTGACCTGTTACTGAACGTGTGCTGGGAAGGGCTTCCCCACTATTTCAAAGCAGTTTTCTACTATTTGAGGATTATTTTCATTGCTGACAGACTGACAATTTTTTCCTCTCTTTGCATAGGCTGGAGACCAAGGCAGTCCTGGGGGCTCCATGGCTCCCAAAGCCCAGGCAATGTCACGAGCGAGTCCTGTTGCACCTGGCACCCTGTCACCCTCCTGTCCCCTCAAACCACCCGTCGGCACCAGCGAGGAGGAACAGGAGAGCTCAGGAACGAGACAAGACTCTTCCTTCTCTGCCTGCCTCAAGTAGGAGAAAACGCTGATTTCTTCAGGCAACCCCAAAGCACAATGTGTCACTCACACCAGGGACAAAACCACCTCCGTCACCCCCACAAACACGTCATGGAAACCTCCCGGTTTCCCCCTTGGTACTTCAAACACCCCTGGGCCGCCCCTCGCACCCGCAGGGCCCTCACTCACCACACGGAGCCGTAGGCCCCGGAGCCCACGGGGTGGATGTTCGTGTATCTCCTGGGCAGCTCCCACACGGTTTTGTTCACTTCTTGCCTAGAAAATCCTCTTCTCCTCGCGATGTTCATCGCCCGGCGGGTGCGGGAGTGACGCCCCCCCAGAGTACCGAAATTCAGCCGGGCTTCTGTGGCAGACGGGGACACCGAGGCCTTCTGCGCGCGTAAAAATAACCAAGGCTCTCGCTGGTCTCCTTCTGCCTTTTCAGCTGTTGTGAGCGTGAAGGGACATGTCTCTGGGTCCTGCTCCTCCCTCCGCCTCCGCCGCAGCGGGGATGAGGCATCAGGTTTCCAGTCAGACCCGCCTCGACCTTTCGCAGGTGTCTGCGGACTCTCCGGTAGGAGCGGGGAGTGCCGGGCGCCGGCGCGGACACTCCTCCTGCCGGGACATGAGGCGGTCCCGGGCGCTCACCCAGGCCAGCCCGGCCGAGCGCGCTGCTCCGGCTTCTCCCTCGGAAACGGCCTCGCGGCGGGTCCCGAAACCACCGCGCTGAGCGCGCGGGTCAGCAAGGGCCTGGCAAGCTGAGGAATCTGCCTCACGCTGGGTGCCGAGCGCGGGACGAGAGGGGACGTGCTGCTCCCCGGGGCTCCTCCGGGCTTGCGGGGAAGGGCACCGCGTGTGGACGTTGATCCGGTTGCTGAGATAATCCACCGAAGAGCAAGGAAATCACGCTGACTTCCTCCTCAGTTCCAGCCTGGCTTCCCAGCAGAGCAGAGGCGGTGGACGCAGACTGAGGCTCTCCGCGGTCCCAGGGTGCCGGCCGGCTCCGGAGCTGCTGGAACACGGAAAAGCCCAGGCACGAGGCTCTGCTAGAACCGTTCCAGGTCTGTGTCCTGCAGCAGGTCTAGCCCCTTCGCAGGGCAGCACAAAAGGACAAGTTTCCTGCTCCGTCCCCCGGCGGAACAGCAAACCCCAGCAGCCCGTCCGGGGCAGCCTCTTCCCTGGCAGCAGGGATCACTCCAGTGTTTTGCTCCAGCTGCACAAGAATGAGGTGCTGTGCTCGAGCGCATCCACGCATTTTCCGAAGGAAGTGACTCAGCTGCGTCCTAACGAGCCAGACCAGCCCTGCTCTACACCCCCAGCCCTCGTTCCTGCCTGCGGCCCCTGCTCCATTGGGATCCTCGAAGCTCTCCCTTTTGGCACGTCTTCGGAGCAAGACGAGGGCCTGCACCGCTGGTAAGTAGAAGACACCAGTTTGCAAGATAAACTGTTTTACTTGGGCACAGGTGACTGCTCCAACATACACTGCTCTTGAAGCAGCAGCGGCTGTAAGGGCTGCTGTTTAGGTACAGTAAAATCAGGGATAAGGTGCTGCTGAAGTCCCCAATTTGCATGTGCAGATGTAAACAAAGCCTGGCTATAGCAATAGGGCAGTGAGGAAATAAACAGCAGATTCGTTTGGTTCTATAAATACACCTGTGAGCAAGAGGCATTACAGCAAAAACTGCTGGTAAATAAAGGTACAAATGAGCCGTGTGTTTGCTCAACACAACCTCTTGCTCAGCTAGCTGCGCACACACGCACAGCTAATCAGTGCTCAGTTAAGCAGCTATAAATACCCAGCATGTGCCTTGGCAGTAACACGATGAATTAAATCAAGTGATCCATTTAAAATCAACTAAGAAACCTGAAGGATTTTGAGGGAATAGTTTCTTTTTGTTGTTGTAGTTTATCGTTTTCTAATTTGATTCTCTTCAACTTTAGTAATTTTACTAACCAGGATAATATTACAAGTGAGCCCATTCAGGCATTATACCATGGATTTTTTTGTTTTTTTTTCCCGCCCAAAAAGTAATAAATGTCTTGCTTAATTATTTTTCCTCCCTTCTTGATGTTCAGGCATTATACCATGGATTTTTTTGGTTTGTTTTTTTTCCCTGCCCAAAAAGTAATAAATAAAAAAGTAATAAATTAATTATTTTTCCTCCCTTCTTGATTTGTACCACAGTGAACAAAGTTGAAAACAAACAGAAAGCAATCGAGAAAAAAAAGTCTTCCTCACTGCTCAAGGGAGCTGCTGTGCAGCTTTGTGACAGGCCAGGGCACAAACTGGAGATTTTAGCTATCTAATTTGGGTCAGTTTCCTCAGTATCTGGGAACTTCAAACATTGAGGCTTTTGTAAGAGTTTCAGGAACGCTGCTTTATTCCATCATTCCTCTGATTGCTTTTCTGAATAAATGGCACAGATACTCGACAGAAATCTAACATCCATTGCAGGCAGTCATGACTGATTGCCCTCAGAGAAGCCTCTTGCTCCCCTAAGTACCTTTTCCACCCACTTTTCCACTAAAATGTTTAGCACGAGAGGTTTGAAGTACCATCAGCCCAGTAAATCTGAAAAATAGGTTTTATTTTTAAACCAGTGGTATTGTGACATCTTATCTGGCATAACCAATTACAGCAAAATTCATGGATAGAAACAATAGAGCAGATCTCTGAAGTGCACCCTCGTGTCGGGCGCGCGGGCAGGGAGCGCATGCCCATGGGCTCCCGTTGGAGTACGGCCTTCCCATGAAACATTCCCACTCACTCACACACACACACGCACGCGCACCCACAATGTCTATATTTTTAAAAATCTTTAGCAATATTTCCGCATGAAATCACACTGTAGCATCTACACATAAAATAGCTGATAAAAATAATCTTGCGGTAGGTTTACAGAGAATATCTACATTTTCCTTTGAATACCCGGACTGCTGGTCCAGCAGAAAGGGAAGCTTTTCTGTCTTGATTTTGTTGGTCTGGGGAGAGCTCTATCCCAGAGCGTGAAATAACTGCTCTCTCCATCTCACCCCAAACATCTGCAGAGCGACTGACCTGAAGAGATCACTGGAAAGCAGCCTAGGAAGAATCAATGGCTTTATTATTCATGGCCCATCCCTTTGTGCTGCCTCTTCAAACACAGGGCAAAAAACACTAAAAACAGTTTGTCTCCGTCCCATAAGAAACGAGGATACAGAATACTGCAAAGCCTTTCTCCTCACATTCACAGGTGCACAGTCCACACAGGATGCCTGCAACAGATGAACATCTAAAAATCTTCTCCCCAAGTCCTAAAATTGGGCTCCTGAGCTCCTCAGGTACAATTCTAACACAAAACAAGAACAAAAAAAATGCTGAAAAAGCCCTCCCTCCTGCCAGTCTCTAACTCTGGGCATTTCACTCAGAGTCCTGTGAAAAACAGAATATTTGAGGCATTATTATATTCAAACATACTCCCTTTTCCCCTTTCCTCAGGCAGAGATCAACCTGCTAAAAAGCAGCCAAGCAGCTCTTGTCCAAGAGGTAAAAGAACACCTAGTATGATACTATTTTTACTTTTATATACATATATATATTTATATGTGTATATATATGTACTTATAGGTTTAGACAGTGAAAGGGATTGTGGTTTTACGCTTGCTTATTTCTTTGCTTTGGATTCCAACATTTCTTTAAAAGAAAAGAAAATCTTTTCAGAAAATAACTTGAATTCCAGCACAAGATGCCAATTGTTTCTTTTGCTTCCTTGAAGGACAGGTTTTTTTTATACTTGATCTCACAAAAGACTTCCAACCCCATCTCGCTTTCTCTGAAACCACTAGACCAGAATAAAGAAAAAGGTGCATGTTTCTATCCTGTATATTTTATCCTTTCCCCATCAGGGCCTTCCGAATGGCAGGTAATTCACACTGAGCTGCAGCACAAGAGGGAGGATATTATGATTTCATGGCACTGGCTGAGGTACTCAGTAAAAATCGCTCACTGATGATTTAACTGCCCCAGTGCCGTCCCCAAAAAGTAAAACAAGAACCAAGTAGCTCCACATGCACATACAGCTATGACATGCAAAAACACCTCACCTCTTAAAGAACAAAATGCACAAACATGTGGCTAGCAAGAACCTTCTCCAGCCTCTTTCCTGGGAACTAGTGCTGGGAAGCCTCAGAATGAAAGGAGGGGAAGAGGGAGAAATACAGGAATCCCCAATCCAGGGAGAGACACTTGGAGGGTTATTTCCTGATTACATAGTGTTCATGCCTGGCTACCTCGGAGCCTTTTCCCCGAAAACAGCAGGGTCAGATTCCACTCCAGACTTCTTTCCCCTCTTCCCCGATAGTTTAAGGCACAAACATATTTACAATTTCTATGCAACCCTGCTCATGTTCCAAGACAGCCATCAGAAGGCCTGTACATTCTGCTGTGCACTAAGCCAGGAACATCTGGATGTCAGTCAGCCACCTGGCACGGAACAAGAGCACACCTCAACCTCACCTTCAGTCCCGAAGAAAACGGAGCACTCGGAGGCCAAACCCCATCTTTCCTTACTGCGAGGTGACTTAATTGTCAAACGGATAAAACGGCAACGATCGCGACCAAAGTCTCAGTGCCACCTTGCCTGCCTCGCCCTAGCAAACTGGCTGCCCACTGTCACTCTGGAAGGAGCTAAGAGCAGTCGGAAAAGGTCTTCGGAGGCTCGTCCCAGGCTGTACACAGAATACAAGAGAGCATGCAGCATGTTTACATAGAGTCCACTTCCTTCCCTCCCCCCACCCTCCCCAATTCAACACACACAAAACCCCTCCACCAAGGAGAATATTGTTGTGACAGGCACTTGAATAGTTGGAGAGTCCCTAGGAAAAGGCCTTCCCCTCACAGTGACACGGGACGAACGGGAGAGAGCGGCTTCTCAGGATTCCATCTCCTCTTGGTCGAGCGGCGGTGGGACGAAGCTGATCACTTCGTCGTAAGTCAAGCCTGGTGGGAAAGGAATAAAAACTTAGCACTGTATTAAAGGTATAGCTTGTGTGGGAAAAGAAAAAGTGAAGTAATCTTAAAAATTCTTCCTGGCAATATTTCAAGGAAAATATGATTTAATTCAGAAGGACAAAAAAGAATATACCACCTCACAGATTAACATACGCAATAAAAGATACCTTCAGAGCCATAAGAACAGGTAAGTGTGAAACTGTAAGTATTAAGAGCAACTACATTATCTACACGTTGAATGCTAATAATAATTCGTTACCATGGCTTATGCTAATTGTGTACACACCATGAAATAAATTCACTCCGTATAAGGACTTTGGAATGATATTTTCATCAGTTTCTTTTGTGCCTCTAACTCCCAAGGATTAGTCAACTGTGACCTATAGCATGTGCCAGCAGAGAAGCAGGCTGACACTGTCCCCTGTCCCCAGACTCACTTTTCCATTCCTCGATCTCGAGTTCTCTGCTCTCGAAGGACTGGTCGTAGGGGTCTGCCACGGGCTCGTCGTCCGGGTCGTGGTACTGCGCGAAGTAGGCGTGAGCCAGAGCCTCGGCCGCCGTGATTCGTTTGTCCGTGTCCAGCACCAGCATCTTCTCCAGCAAGTCCACAGCTGCAACAGCCCCAAGCAGAAAAGGGGAGGATTTTACCCAGCAAGCTGCGTGGCATTTCACATTGCAATTAATTTTATAAAAGCCCAATATATATAAGGAATATGTATTTTTTCAGGACCTCACCACCTATAATTTCTTTCTCTCATATCCTATAACCTGTACTTTGCACACTTTCAGAAGGGCACATATCTCTCTTCCAAACTACTCTTCAAAACTACTTTTGCAGTCAAAATGAAGCTTGAGAAAAGTCTTGGTATCCCAAGGCATGCCAAGTTCAACTTCATCAACAACATGCAAGGCTTAATGCCAGGAAGAGCACAAAATGTAAAATGCAGGCCTTACCTAGGGGATTGGCGCCAATAAACACATTTTCAAAGTTCATTTTCGGCATATAAGACAAAGACTGAATGTAGTTTCTTGCCTGTGGAAACAAATACTCTGTTGAACTACACTGCCACTGAGACAGAGCTCACTTCAGTTCTCCTGAAGGATGCACTGGTTGCACATGGACTGTCATCTTAATCTGCTTTTCTGATGTGTACTAAGCCCTCTAATGTTATCTTTTCCTCAGAGGCCACTGGAGATAGTGAAGGAAGAGCTCAATTACTTGAAGTTCATGCAAGACTGGAGATGCAAACACACGGATCTAAGAGGGGCTGCAAGAGCGGATGGACTCGGAGCCCCCAGGCCTGTGGACAAGCCACAGAGCTGGCACCACACAGGGCAATGCCAGCTCGCACTCCCATCCTGCTGCGTCCCACAGGGAGCACCAACTGTCCAGATGCCAGTTTGGTAGCGGGTGGTTAATGCAATCCCCACCCCATGCCGCATGCGAGCGCTTTGTTTAGAGGAGCAGTGACTCTGCACGTGGGGACCTGCACTGCCACCCCTCGTCTGCTCAGGTCTCACCTCGTGGCTGGGCATCCTGTTAATGAGATAGGCAGGGGGGGTCCCCGTCAGGCGCATGATCTGCTGAAGCTGGTTAATATCTTAAGTGCCTGGTCAAGGGCTTTGTTAAAAACGGTGCAAAATACCATTTCAAACAGAAAACAAAGCATCTCCTCTGCAAACTACAAGGCACAGACCAAACAGGCAGGGTCTTTGGTCAAATACTTGTGAGAAGTTTAGCAATTGCACTAGTGAACACTTAAAACAAGGGGGAATTACTGATCCCCTGCTAACAGGGTCAGGACAGCCAGGAAGCATTTCTGTCTGCCCTGGGAGCGCTGCAACGGGATCACTCATCTCCAACAGCTGGAGCCGTCGGCCTTTGGCTGAAGCTGCTCAGAAGTTTTCCTAGGCTGCTGCAGCTACAGACAGCCCAGGAAAATGAGCAACAAGGAATCTTATCTCTGCACTGGTTAAAGAATCTGTTTTTTCTTGCTGCATAGTAATCTTAAGCTCCTTGTGGTGCAAAGTGAAATCAGCTCACAACTGACACCTCCTTCTACACAGCCATGAATGTGCTCTGACATGTGGGCGAGGTGACAGAAGGCTATAAATGCAAAATTAGAAAACATTGGCATTGCATAAGACAGAGTTAGTTGATGTCAGTGAACAGAACAGAGGAAATAAGAGCAAGGGAAGCGATGCAGAGAAAAACACAAATACAGAACTTCCAGTGACACACTAAGGCCTCTTGAATACTTAACAGATTTGCTGCCCTCAAATAACAAAAATAAAGCAGAAACAGTACCTCAACTGTACTTTTTAAACAGACTCTTGACATGGACTTGACCAAGAATAATTCTTTTTATTGCATAACTTTTTTTTTAAAAAACAAAACAAAACAAAAACACCAACTTCATCTTACATGTACAAACCCATCTTGTGTTTAACCTGGTTAAACTTTAAAGCCTGAGTCTCTAATCCCCTGTGCTTCAAATACCAACTCCCCTTCACCAGGGTCCCATAAGGTCAGTTCACAGTTGCCTGAAGCCACCTGCTTTGTTCATCTCCACTTTTCCAAGAGATATCCCAGTGCTTTTTAGGCTGGAATGGTGTTCAGCAAGCTCACCAATTCATCTGGCAAGTTCTGGCTACCCTGGTGTTTTGCACTTACCACCCCTGTTACATGTTATAAAGCTGAAATGTTATAAGCTGCGGGAGAAAATAATCTTCACGCCCCTTTCCCCTGCATCGATCATCTGGTACTGAACAGCAACGAGAGCTTGAAATATGGTCACCTCTAAGCACCTTCGTTGCTCGCTACGCACCGACTTCTTCAGCTGTCCTGTTACAGCATCTCTTGGTCTAATTTCTATGCACTTCATTTCTATGCAAAGGTAAATGCTGTTTAACACTCGTCACAGGAGTTTATAATCCAAGGGTAAATCCAACAACACAGAAAAGATGGCAGGGCTGAAGGGTCACCCTTTAAAAGGATTCTCTGGACAGTTTTTTGCAGTTATCTTGATAAAAAGGCCCCACGCAACAGCAACCTTTAAATGTATGGCATGATTGCTTATGGATTTGGTAGGCTGTACATTGTGTGCCTTGGAAAAGGCTTCTGCAGAAGAGCACCTAAAGGCATTTGGGATTTTACAGCACAAAACCAAACACAGTGGCAGCAGCGTTTCAGAAGATAATCATACCCGAACACCAAAAAGGGACCATGTGTGTTTAGAGGATGACACACTTTGTACTGTTACATTTCCCTCACCAGGAAGATCTTTGGATTGGCAATCTGGATAAATAATAATTGAGACAAGTCTCAGGCTCTTAGCTGTGAAAAATGCTTCCCCAGTAGCATCTGATCATCCAATACACCATGAAGTAAAACCCACAAACTGAAAGAAAAATCAAAGCAGTAAAATGAGAATATGGAAGGAAGAAATCATACCACAGGTAAAGTTAAGAGGGATAAAGATCAGATAACACTCAGTGTATGGACTCAAAGACACCTAGGAGTGAGGAATGACAAAAGGCAGAAAAACAGAAAATAAATTCCACAACATACTACAGAGAGACTACGGGAGGGCAACACACAAATCTGGGAGTTCCAAAAGGGCAGATATTACAATCAAAGTGTAAACTCACAGACTCTGAGGAGATTTTCTTCAAAAGCTCAGGCCCTGGGGTTCCAACGAGTCTCAAAATGAGCTTCAACTGATCAATATCTAATGATGGACCATAAAGGAAAATGCTGGGACAAATCAAAATAAAAATGCAAAGCATCAGCCTGTTAACCTTGAAAGATAACGTCTACTGAGACCTCGCCTAAAGCGCGATGTTAAGCACACTGTATTCATTCCTCTTAAATAAAATTGAGTATCCCCTTACAAGACAGCTCTGCCTACATGCCCAGGACTGAACCTCTTGGCTCCAGAGATGCCACACGCATTGGATGGGCGGCTGCATCCTTGACTGCTGTGGACCGCTGCCCCCTTTCAGAGCCCACAACCAGAGCGGCTGCTGTTAGCAGCATTAAGCTGTGTTAGTGACAGACAGAGGAAAGCAGAGGGCTGAAAGAACAAGCTCTAATATTAAAAGAGGCCTTTTGTGAACATGCTCTAAGATAATTCAAGCCCTATTAACAATACAGCCCTGATCACCACTCGGGCTCTGCGGTAGCAGCTCTGGCGCCCATGGGCCCTCCCCGGCGCCCGCGCTGCCTGCGGGGACCGAGGGCGACGCTGCCGGCAGAGGGTGCTCGCTCCGACCCGCGGGATGAACCGGCCTTGGGACACCTAACACACACAGACGTGCGGGAAAAAACCCAGCACGGTTATACATGGACTCAGGGAGTGAGGAGACACGAGTTTAAAACCATCACGAGAATAATCCCCTCCTCTACGCTGCCCTTGGAACACATTAGGGATTTTGGACTCTAACATTCACGCGTGTTCCTAACACCAAACTAGCTACATATTCTCCTTTCTGTAAAAATAACCCACTTATACACTTTTTTTTTCCCCCCCTCCTAGAATTAACACCTTGCTGATGTTTTAAGATAGAGGTACAAGTCCTTGTTGTAACAGCTTTTAATTCAAACACTGCAACAGTTCTCTGCTTGCTTCAAAAACTGACTCGTGGTGAAAGAACTGTATTTATGTAAAGACCTATCAAAAGATTGCTTTTTAAGAATCTGTGTTTCTTTAAAAGCCAGAGTTTTGAGAATAATGGCAAGTTGTATATGCAGTAATAAACACTTTGCTAAAACTGCTATCTTTTAACATAAAACTTGGTCTACAATTTTACATCTAAAAGGAATGACCAAAAAAGGGAAACAGCACCTGTAAGAACACCTGAGCTAAGCTCTCGTTCACATCTGATGTTAAACATCTACCTAAAAACACTCAAAACAAGGCTAAATCCTAGATACCTAGTTGGATTTAGCTTAAATGTCTAACTCATAATCATCAACACTTGAAATCAGTTTATCTCCTGGTGCAGAAGAGTCACCAGAGCGTCCTGTACAAACCATAATTAGCTCATTTAAATTGGCCTTTCCTCAGTGCATTATAAAACAGCCTTTGCACCTTTCACTTATTCTTGTGCATGAAGCAGTTGTGCAAGTTTGGGGCTGCCCACAGGCCTCCAAAGCCATGTGCGATACCTCAGCTTCAATACTGAAATTCAAGACATTTAAAAACCACGTGCATCAGGTTTGCCAACAACGCGGTTGCTCAGTTTGCCCTCAGCACTCCTCTCAACGAATTGTTTGCTCTTGGAATACCTTTGTGTAAATGCACTTTAGCTCCTTCTCAAAAAACAAAATTAAACCAGACTGCATAATGGCACTGCCACACGTACAGCCAGAGCCAGCCCCTAGTTGCACCTAGTTTTAGGCCTGCCATCTACAACCTGCTGAATTACAGCACTCATTTGACTACAGCCCACTGGTGGTCTTGGGAAACGAGCTACAAGCAATTAAAGACAGAAACGTGTTTAGTAAATGCAAAGCAAAAGAAAAGGAGTAAAAAAAGTGCACGGCAAAGCAAGCAGAGCAGCCCAGCCTCAAAAGCCATCGCCACAGGTACCCCAAAGACCGAGCGGTCTCAGTGACTGCCAAATTCAGGAAACAATATTCCATTGGCATCAGCCGCAGGCCTTGCAGGGCTGCAGGAGCTGATCCGGGCAAAGCAAGGTGGGAAAAGGGCTGCCGCAGACTCCACAAGCAAGAATCAAGTATATGGGAGGAATATGTAATTCCAAGGTGGTTAGTTATACTGGAATTCCCATCCGAATGCATAAAAGTAACAAATATTCTTCACACTTCAAACAGAACACAGTCAACTTAAAACACACAGAAAATTGGCTAAATTCAAAGCATTGCAAGTTTGATTTGTACATTATGTTATTTAAACACAACTGGAATTGTTGCTTAAAGTCAACTTTCCTATTTGTGTGAATCACTCATATTATGAAAGCTGTAAGAAAATTAGGAATACACATTTTTAACACAAACAAACTGACCTGGGCATAAGACAGCACAATAATCATTACCCAAAGGAAAGTCTCTAAGTCTTGACATTAAAAACATCAAAGACACTGATTTTCATTATCTCAACTTGTCTCTGACAAAAAAAAAAAAAAAATAGTTCCTTTCCCACAGCCCCCCTCCTCCCAAAGATTTTAACAACATTTGAACCCCAACTTTCATCTGAATATTGCTCCCCCCCACACACACATCACGCTAGGAATAATTCACATTAATTTAACATTTATTTATAAAATAACCTAGAAATACTGTAATAATCCTGGACAACTGACCCCATACAGACCACCCTTTTTTTCTAAGGGCACCTGCAATTCTTGCTTTAGGTCACTGATAGCCATGGTCAAATCTCTACAAATTAGATTCTTCAGACATTGGAACTAAATCTGACATTATTTTATCAGGGCTAATGATCACAAACACCAAAGATCATCAGCACCAGTTACAGCTTTAGTACTTACCAGGGTACCGCGTGCCTGTACTGAACCCCGCTACAAGTAACACATGCACCTCTGGGCTGGATAAAGAACTATCTGATGGAATAGAAATGATATCACACAACTGCTAAATTTCCCCGGTGAATCACACAACTACTAAATCTCAATTTTCCTTGGGGAAAGAAATCAATGTTTGAATCAGAGAGCCATCTGGATAAGAGAATGATCGTCCTGAGCATGCTGAAAAGACATTATCTATTCATTCATTTTGGAAAAAAATGAGCTGTAGAGTTGAAAAGACTGGTATCTTGAGATGAAAAAGTAACAAGCACATTGCTTTTCATAGCTGATGGAGGAAGGCAGTTTCTAGCTCCGTTAACATCGAGGACACGTGGCTCCCTTGGCTTGTTTGCAGCCCTAATCCCCTCGAGCTGCCCTGGGTTGAGACATGCGGCCGCAGCTACTGGAAGCACAACCCATAAACTGAGATTTCAGCAGGGCAACAGCAGCACCAGTGCCAGCAACGCCTGTGACACCGGAGCAGGAGCACAGCTTGACTCGCCTGTGACACCGGAGCAGGAGCACAGCTTGACTCGGCCTCAGCAAATCTGCAGGCACAAAGGACAAGGGCCTGGAAGCCCCCAACACGACCCAAATCTGGAAAACTCCTACAAAGGCAGCCTACAGAAAGGCTTCCAAGAGCTTCTCAAGACAGGGAGAAGTTGGAACCCACCATTCTCTTACTTCTCCTTGCTGCTTTTAGATGTCAGCAGCCACAGAGCGAAAGCTGAGAGCCGGGGGCCTTTGGGATCCTTGGATATGTGCTGCAGCACAAGCAGCAAACGCAGCCCCCAGCAGCGCTTCCCTCCCCATCCCAACCGCCCCATGGAAGCAAAGTGCAGCCACCCGAGCACCAAAAGGCTCCTTCACCAAAGGCAGCGGCTGGGGTAAAAGGAAGATATTCAATTTATTAAAATAACACTAACCACCACTGCAAAGCACTTGCTACATGTTGAAAATGCCATCGAAACTACTTTATTTACAAGCATCAGGTTTCAAACCCAAAATATCACTGTTAACCAGGGTCTAGTAATGTCTACAACTTAAAAACTTTGCTGATTTCTCACTTTTTCTTGGGGGGAAAAACAATTCACTAAAGCCAAATTATCCCTGCTAAATCAGCTGATAACTTTCGACAGCTTCTAAGCCACTTTCCTGTTAGTTCTGCATCTGGCCCTGACAAGAGAAAAATGCAGCAAAGGTGACTGAACAGCAGAGCACAGCTAGTACAACCAATTGGGAGAGATGACGTATGAAAGATTGTAAGATGGAGACAGGCAGAAAAAGAGAGGAAAAAAAGATAAAGCTGAAGCACATTGAAAAGAAGAGATGAAAAAGGTGTCAAAACTGGAGTGAAGGCCCTCCCGCTTCCCCAGCTCCTGAACAGTTTTGTAACCTAGATCCTTTCCAAAAGTAATGTAGTAAAATTTCAACACTTTTCTTTTAAATAAGGGATTTATGTTCTTCACAAATATGAAAGTTAAAGTTATTAAAATAAACTGCGACTGAAAGAATACTTTAGAACAAAATTTTGATAAAAGGTGGGCAAATATCATCTCTGATAGATGAAGCCCAAATTTTAGGCACAAAAATCTTTGCAGAAGTGAATTACCCCTATATACTAGGCAGCTGAACAAACTAAAACTTTCAGTATAAAAGTCTGCATCAAGTCTTCATTCTAATTGCCTGGGGAACCTATGCCCAACCTCTACAAACAATGACTGTTCCTCGTGTATTTGCCAGAATGTCCTAGCCAGTCCACTTTAGCATCATGAAGAACGCTGGAAAGATTTTATATAAGCTTGAGTTTTCACATCAGTACAAGCACACAGTGCAAGAAGGCACACAAGTGACTAACGCATGGAAATGGAACCTAAACATTTCTGAACAATTTTGAAAGATCAGCAGCACTAAAGAATCTGCAAATCTACTGCTTTCACACCATAACGCCAGGATAGAGAGGCCATCCCTTCCCAAAAAGGATCCTTCCCACCTGCTAGAAGCCTGAAGCATGAAAGAATTCACAGCAGACAGAACTCTTGTATGTTTTTTTTTTAAACAAACTTAAAGAGCAATTAATTTAAATAATCTTAAATGAAACTAATTCCCAGAAACAAGCAGCACAGGAGCAATATTTTTAATGATGCTAATAGACAACAAAAAGGAAGAGCTCAGCCTCCTTGCACACTGCAATGATCTCATTTCAGCAGATCAAAGACTCACCTCATTGAACTGTGAGTAAAATAAGTTGTTAATAATTTAAAAACAAACAAACAAAAAATGGAGTCTATTTCCTTGAGAAGTATGCTAAAAGTTAAGATCTCTAACTTACATTTCAGGCAAAATATATTACTTTTAAAGGATACGGTCTGTACCAGGGAACAACGTTCTTCCAGTCAACAGCTCAGCCATAATGCAGCCCACTGACCAAATATCAACTGAACAAAATAAAATAAAAAGAAAACGTAATGCAGAAAAATAAAGGCTTAACAGAATCACCCTATTCAACAGGTACAAATAACTTTGTTTCAACACCCTACGACTACTGCAATATAATCTGAGATATGCTGCAAACTGATGCTGTTCAGTAATTACCTCACCTAAGACTTGTCCAAATAACATAATAGCAGATGAGGTAAATTTTCTTTCCTGAATATAACATACATTGGACACCGAAAGGCTGGGCAGGAATCTACAAAGCGGAGGAATCAACCACCTGTTGAAGGCAGCTCTGAAGAATGAACTTGGTCTTATATAATGACCACTATCAAATGACCACTAACTCTTAAATTACAGATGACAGAAAAGTCCATACACATATAAGAGGAAAAGAGTAAAGAAGAAAAAGTAGTCAGATGTGAAATTAGCACAGCACATTATTTCCTTTGATTCATATGGAGATACTCTTGTACTAGAGTAACTATTTCCAGAAGTACTGATGACATTTTACTGGTTGCTATTTCAAAGGACCAAGCTTAAAGAAATCGTGTGGATGCTGTCATGGTGATTCATAACTTGTCTATTAGACTGTGGACAAAATACCTAATTCTATGCCTTCCTTCTTTTAACTACCCTCACTGAAGTTTAGTAACTGTAACTGCCAATTTATTCAATCAAATGCAAAGGAAAACGTTCACAGTACAAGCTCTTTTGACTTTAAATTCAGGAACTGAAAAGCTTGGTACTAGTTCAAGCTATTACCTGTCTGGTTATAATGCATCCAGTTCAGCATGATCTCAGGAGCCCTGTACCACCTGGTAGCCACATACCCAGTCATCTCATCATCCGTGTGTCGGGCCAAGCCAAAATCCAGGATCTATGGAATAGAAAGACATTTGCCAACTACCGCAGTGGAGCAATGCCAACTGGTTAGAGCAAATAACTAGACAATTCTTGGACAGGGTGGAGGAGAGGTGGTGCAACTGCAAAAGCAGATTATGAAACTGTATTTCACAACCTGTTAAACGACACTAGGCTAGGAAAGCACAGGACCTGACCATCAGGCCCGTATCTGAACACCTCAACCACAAAGAACTAAATCAGAACTAAAGCTGCTAAGTCTTTCTTTCATGATGATTCGGTAAATACACATAAACATATATAGAAAGAAAAAAAAAATCTGCATAAACATCCTTACAGCCCTTTACAGCTGGAAGGACATGATTAATTCAGGGCATCAAAGTATTTCCATGAGAAATTATTTTGTTCCTTTAATTCAAACACCATCCACAAGGCATTCACTCAAATCCCAGTCAAACCAGCCACGTTATCAATACATTACCTTCAGCTCACAGTCTTCATTTACAGCTAGGTTACTAGGTTTTAAATCCTAGAAATTAAACATCATCAGCATTAAGAGCAGAATATACATCACTGCACAAACTTAAGTAGATAAGAGAATAAATTCACATAGAAAATAGATTCTAGTTGACTGTCAATATCAACTCTCCGTACTTGGGAAAATAATCTTGTCTTGGAGCCAGCTCTCTCCTGCAGTTCTCAGAAGTGGCATTTATAAGCAAAAACACATTAATAGCCTATCGTAACACTGCTATTGCAGATGCATAAAACACCACAGAAAATCTATTTAGACAGATGAAAGACAAGAGAGTCAGGAACGGAAACTAAGGATTTTGACTACCACTTCCTATCTGTAACTATTTGACTGTTTAGCTGCAATAATTTTCAGAAAATTTTTACTCAGTTCTATAGTTGCTACATTGTAAGGTCCAGTGCTACACTCCCTGAACACACCGGTTCAGAACAAAAAGTAAATTTAGAATAAATACTCACTCTGTGTATTATGTCAGCCGAATGGATGTACTGTAAGGCAAGACGACAGATTTTACAAAGAGCACAAGTAGCTGCTGCTCGTTTCGTCACCACACGATGCGGCCCTGCCCCATCCCACACAAATCAAATAGTACAGCTTGTTTGCAGAGGGAACCAAATAGAGCAGGTGCCTGTGGCTTTCAAGTATCTAGATGTTTCAGCCTCTCCTTACAAACACCCTGGCACCAAAAGCGGGATGACAGAAGAAGAGGCTGAAGGAATGGAAGATGCACAGAGTTGATTAAAGGACAGCATAACTCATAACTTTCCAGCCTCTGCCCCTAGAAACATATAGGATTATCTTCTTAACTTGTACAGATGTTTACTGACACAGAGTGTAAATGAGGTACAAAGAGAAAGAGCAATAAGAAAAGATTATCCTATGATATGCTAGGAAAATTAACAGAAACTCCATGTGGAGCTTCATTGGTCATATGAATCTCCGGATATGAATCAGGGATTACAACCTGCCACCAATTAGCTACCAATGTTCACGATGACAGTACCTTCAGTCCCCGAAGAATCTGATATATGAGGAACTGCACGTGGTCATCTGTGAGTTTCTGGCATTTCACAATGTTGTTCAAATCTGCTCCCATAAGGTGCGTTACCAAGTACCTACAAATGAAAGAAAACACCCAGGCTGTGAAGCAGTCTCTCCATCAGGATTAGGATGAATCCTGCTTATCATCCTCCAACAGCTGTCGGCTGTCCCAAAGCACAAACAGAATGAAATACAGCTTGTGATACATTAAATAACATGGCACATTAGTTCCCTGATTACTACAGCACCGGTGAGCAAAACACAACCGAACAAGCTTGAGGAGCCCAATAGTTTAAATCTCCTATCTTTTGGGTTAGATTTCACAACTGTTTGAGAAAAACAGCAGATAAAAACGAAGGTGGCAAATAACCCTACAACAGTTGGGGAGATAAAATGAAGATGCAAAAGGTGCTTTGCTCCAGTCTTCAGAAAAGTTACCTACACATCATTGAATTCTTCTAGTGACTTGGCAGGTGTGAACACATCCAACAAACCAATCACCTAGAAAAGAAAAAGTGGGAAAGTTTGTATGTTCCTAGTATAGTATGACATAAATAGGATCCTTAATGGAATAGAAACTATTAATTCCCTTGGATTTATCTTCGTAGATTCATTCCCATAGCCTACAGATTCATTTGCAGCTACATGAATCATTTTGATGAAAAAAAAAAAGAGATAGTATTCAAACAATATCAGGAACAAAGGTTCCACTTCTATGCAAAAAATATTACTGCTACAACATACAGCAGTCTTCTTACACATTTAAAGTATCAAAAAGGAGATACCACAAATCAATGCAACAAAAAGCAGGTGTTAATGCTGGTTTACAATGTCTAAAATTACTAAATTTGTCCAGGAAATAGAGTTTTCCAGAAAAACCATACACTGAAAGCAGTTTGTTTCCTACTCAGCTCCCTGTGACACCATTGACTAGATGGTAAAGTATTTTTTTTCCCCTCATTTGTACTGTGCATAGAAAAATTCAAGGATACAAGCAATGAATAATGACTATACTAGAAGGCAAGTCAGGAAAATAGTGCAATGCACTGAAGACCCAATTTGCTGGAACAGCTGACAACTTCCCTGTCACTGTGTCTTCTACCCTAAGAGCATCTACTCCACTATTCTTTTTACAGTGAACCTGTTTTAACCAAAAAGAGTAAAAATGTATGAACGTGTCGCTTCAGAAAAGAATAATTGTATTTTATTTTCCCACCAGTATCTTCTAAGTCATTTACAGCATTAAAAAGATCCACTTGGTGGATTAAAATTGTTTTAATTCAGTGGGATGTGCTTTTAAAACCTATTTTCCTTCCATTAATAGCAAATACTGCTTTATATTATATTTTATACATTAGGAATACACGAGATAAAGGGAAAGCTTCTCTTCGTCCACCTCCAAAGAACCCCTCTTCCCATTTCAAGTCAGCATCTCACTTGACACGGATACACATCGCTTTGCTCCCAAGCACATTTCTACAGCTTCAATGTGAATAAGAAATTAATAATTGGATTCCTGTGGTTTCCTTTGGCATCATCCAAAATTGTTTATTTTAAATAGATAATGGAGGACAAAAGTTTTAAGGAGTCTAGAAATGTTTCTAGAAAAAAAGAAGTAAGTGGGATAGGAAATAAAAAACCTCTGTATAATCTGATCTACTTTGTCTATTACAGATTTAATGTTTAGGAAGGAAACTGAAGAGAGAAACCACCTTCCTGCCCCTCTCTCCATGCATATCACAATAGCAATTTCTAGACAGACATTTTCTTCAAAGTCTAAAATTTGCATCCATCCAGTAAATTCTCTTATAGTTTCTCTCCAGTGGACTTTTCCATATCAGAATTTATTTACAGAAAAACTGAATATTATCCACCTAGTTTATCATGATAAGGAGAAAAAAAAAAGTTGTGCTATCCAGATATCAGCTTTTTCATTTATCACTTTTATCTTGCTACATTACTGTATCTTTCATCAAAGAAGCTTCACAAACACTTAAATATGGTTATTCTGTAGCGCATCACTGACCCAATTCAAATGAACTGTGGTCGTCACCAGATTCAGAACCCAACTACTAGCCTTATACTTTCTCCTCTCAGCATCACGAAGTTTATTAACTTCATACAGCACCAAATCCAAGTTTCCTTTCACATCTGCTCAGTGCTGTGCTTGACAAACAAACTAAACATCCTTTTATTCCTTATTCTCAAAGCTATGTAGGCTGCATGCTACACTAAAACAAAAATATTAACGAATGTCAAACTGTTATAGTAGCAGTTAGTGTAATTTCCGCCACTTAATCCTAATATCTTAGATAAAGGCTAATGCTCTGCATTTTTTAAGAACTGCAACTGTTTGGGGAACACCCCAGCTATCAGAGAAGGCTCAGAAAAAAAGATTACCAAGGGAATGGGTATTGTGCAGCATCAAACGCTACCCCTACTGTCAAAACAATGGTATCAAATACAGTATTCCTGTATCCAGGCACTGAGGGACTCTTGTTGAGTGTTTTACATAGTACATCAAATCTTCCAAGTATAGTAGCCACACTAAAAATGCCGAGATGATTTGAGGGATACCAATACTAGAACCCA